GACATGGCTCCGAACTGGGCCCCCATCAGCTGCAGGGCTGTGGAGGAGGACCGGGGGGGGACATCCTCCCAGGGCTCCGTGGCTGGTGGCCCAGCACTGTTACTTTTGGTCGATTAGCCGAGCTATTATATAATATTTCAATGATGAAAAAGGGCAAAGCTTTTGCATTTTTTTATTTGTTTGTTTGTTTTTATCAGTTTTATTTTCATAGCAGAAAGTTTGGAAATTCAACAGGCTGCAGAAATCAGAACACCTGGTGTGTGCCGTGTTTGTTGTGAAGGGAAATCGTTTCTCTTCGTAAGCGAGGATCGGTTCGTTTAGAGTTGCGCTGCAACCCAATAAAATCCCACAGAACGTGAACGCACCACTTCACATTTTTTGTCATGTTGGTTTTGTGACGTTGCATGATCAGAACAGTTGAAGCAGGTGTGTTTGCACCTGTTATCTGTTCACAAACTCACCGTACTGATAATTAGGGATGATTTGGAGGAAGCACAGCCTGGAGGGCAGGATTTACATCCATCATGAACAAATAAAAAAGGCTAATGCATGGTGAAAATAGTTTATATCAGTTGTTTTTTCTGTATTTCACGACAGGTTAAAGGCAATGATAGTTTTGTCTGTTTGCCTGTCTGTTAGCAAAATATCTTATAAACCAGTAAACTGATTTTAATAAAACTTTCACAAAGGAATCACTGAATGTAACTGCAGCACATTAACTATAGGAATCGGTGCCATTCAAGTGGGCTGCCACAGCAAATCATCATTAACCAACACAAACATTGCTATGACTTTGTCCGTTGTGTCAACATCAAGCTAAGATTTAGTGTTCTAGTAGCTGAGAGTAACACAAACTCTGAGCTCTGCGCATCTTTGCTAAAAAAACAAAAGAAAACGCTGACACTGCTTATTAGTCATCACTGTTAGCAAAATATCTTGTGAACCACTAGACAAATTTGAATAAAACACTTATTTTAATCATTAGAAGTATGCGATTAACAATAGGACTCTATACGAAGCCAACACACATTGTTTCATCGTTTAGTTTAAAAGTCTGGCTTGAGAAGTGGCGGGTGATAAGCAATTCTTCAAGGAATTCTGGGCTTTTCATTTATAGCAGTCACTGTAAGGAGAGCTTACCTCATTACTGGAGGATTAAACTAACACGAAATGAGTTTAAACGAATGGGATGCAGGTTCTTTGTCTGACAGACAAACAAGCAACACTCCTGCCCTAAATCTTTATTTAAAAAAGCTATTTAAAGTTAAATAAATGTCTACTTAAATCAAAACTAATGGTGTTCCACAAGGCTCAATTTTAGGACTCACTCTTTTTTCAATTTGTATAAGTAATGTAGGTCGAAACCTTCCTGACAAATCCTTGCATGTCTATGCCGATGATACAGGTGTTTATTGTCGAGCTAGAACAGTTGCTAACGTTTTCCAGCTTCTACAGTCTGCGTTAGACCTCATTCAGTCAGACTTGTTCCAGCTCAAACTGGTGCTAAGTGCTGATAAAACCAAAGGGATGTTGTTTTCAAACACAAAGTCAGTGCCTGCAATTCTTCCTCCTATCTCTTCCATGCATGGTGTTCCTATTGAGTTAGTGAATTCTTACAAATACTTGGGAATTTTGGTCGACGCACATCTCTTTTAAACCACGTGTCGAAAACTTGATAAAGAAACTGAAATAAAAACTGGACTTCTTTTTTACAAATAGATCCTGTTTAACTCTGAATACCAGAAAATGCCTTGTAGCTGCTACTTTCCTACCAACCATTGGGTGACATTATTTACATGAATGCCCCTGCCAGCTTCTTGCAGATGTTGGATGCTGCCTATCACAGCTCACTAAGATTCATAACTACCGTACCCATCACTGCACTCTGTACTCATTGGTCAGCTGGTCATCATTAACTTCACACAGACTCTCACACTGGTTCATTTTCATCTATAAATCCCTCCTCACCTTCATATATCTCCTCCCACATGTCATGCCGTCAGTGCAGTTACGGCGTGCACTCTCAAGACATCATTACCTGCAGCGTTCCCTCAGTTTTCTTACACTAGACCTTGCAACAAGATCTGAAGCTGTACACTTTGATTTCTTGAAAGGATTTTAGACATTTGATAAGTTCAATAGAAACGTCAAATATGTTTGTCTTTTAACTGTTTTATGGCACCTTAATTTATTGTTTTATAACACTACTTTTGTTTTATTGCATTTTACTGTAGTTTGTTGTCTGTACAACATAGTGTCTGTCTAAAACAGGTCTCTCTTGTAAATGAGTCCTCGTGACTCATTGAGACTAACCTGTATAAATAAATAAAGGTTGAATGAAAACAAAAGAACAAAGTTTTGTAAAATGTCAGTCATAACAGAGGATAGAAAAACAAGTGCTATCTAAGTTTCTGACCATCACTTTTATACACACATATACACAAAACCTTAATTACAGACACGTCTGATGTGATTCTCTGCAGCAGTAATTAAAGCAGGCCTCTCCTGAGAGTCAGGCGACAGACTGAGACACTCAGCGGTAACACTTTGAAAGTGATGGAGCTGAGGCACAACGTGTGTTTGGTTAGCTAAAACTGTGTTTGGAAATGAATGAGAGAGACAGTTTGTTGTTTTAAATCAATGACATCAATAAATCTGATCACAGTCCACTAAACAATTTACAAATGAATTATGAAAAGCAACCCCAATTTCCATAAAAGATGAGATGTATAATTTGTAAATTTGTAGATTTGTCTGTCGCAATAAACAATAAATGAATTAATCGCATGATAAATGAAAATTATCGACCTCATTTTCATTTATTGGCTTGATCGTTTCTTCGTCTCTCTCTTTCTACTGAAGACACTGGATGACGAAAAGCTCAACTCCGGTGTTCTCAACTGACCCCTCCCTTTCTCTTTAAAATCAATTTTAAACATCCAAAATCACGTTTTTGCATCGTTAAAAGCAGCTAAGCTGAGAAGCTAAGCTAACAGGCTGACCTCAGGAAAAACCTCCATCTTGTCGAAGCTCCAAAATTCACAGTTGAAACCCGTGTCTTTGTGTAAAATGTTGTTTTTCTCTGCAAAAAGAAGCTGAGAACTTGTTTACTGATTTTTTATTAAAAGCTTTGTGTGACAAATGCTATGCTAAAGAGCTCAAACCACACCGAGCGTCCACCATTTTGAGAACCAGAGAGACAGCCCATGTCTCATCAAGCGGCCTCCCTCCCATTTTCCTTAAATAGACACACTGCTCGCTCCCTCACTATCCATCCTTCGGTTCAAGCAGTCTTATACTACCATCTGGTGGTCAATAAAGGTACTACATTCAAAACAAATTAACCAAAATTTCTTCTTAAATTTGACAATAATTGCTAATTATTGTCAAATTTCAAACAATATTATCGTTTAGCACAATAATTTCTGAGACAATCACCCAGCAACATTTGTTATCGTGACAGGCCTATCATCAGCGAGGCAGGTGTTTGAACTGTTAGCATCCTGGATGGTTTCTCTGTTCATTAGCATGTAGGACATGGTATATACGGGGAGTGGTGGCGCAGAGGCTAGAGAGGTGGGCTTGTGATCCAAAGATCGCCGGTTCACGCCCCGACAACATCAAAATTGTGGGTGGGGTAGGTGAAGCACCCACACTTGCCCCCACCCTCATTCCCCCCACCTTGGGCCCTCAACCCCCCATCTGCTCCCTAAACAGGTCTCTCTTGAAATTGAGTTCTCGTGGCTCAATGAGACTACCTGGATAAATAAAGGCTAAATGAAAAAAAAAATCCGTAGTTTCCAAAAATAATTTCAGGTTTTGATTTGTCTGACCGCCCTGTGATGGACTTGCGACCCGTCCAGGGTGTACCCTGCCCCTCGCACAGTGACTGCTGGACATGGGCACCAGCGACCCCCGTGACCCAAAATGGAACAAGCGGGTAAAGAAAATGGATGGATGGATGGATGGATTTGTCTGACCACAGAATGGATTTTCTCTTCGCTTGAGTCCATGTTTGAGCTTTTGTCCGCAGACAACGGCAACATTTCTAGACGATGTTCACATCTGGCTTCTTATTTTCATGGCAGAGCAGCTGTGCTGGTGGACGTCACATTGATTTGTGGAAGTGTTTCTGAGTCCATGAAGTGATGTCCAGAACAGAACCAGACCAGTTGTAATGCAGCGGTGACTTTCTGTCGTGTCCCTTGAGCAGAGATTTCTCCAGATTCTTGAAACATTTTGTTGATATTACCAGTACAGATGATGGAATATTCAAAGTATTTACAATTTTCTATTGAGGAACTTTTTTTTCTGAAATTCTCTCACTATTTTTCGACGCTGTTTATTTGCAGACTGGTAAACCCCTGCCCATCTTTACTTCAGGGAGGCTCAGCCTCTCTCTGCTAATTAGTTGCCATTTAACCTAATTATTTGCACCATGCTCCTCCAGCTGTTTCTTATTTGCCCCCTGTCCTAACTTTTTAAAAATGTGTTGTTACCATAACATTCAGTATTACTTTATTTAAAAAAAGATCATTTCTTACTTTAAACATTTGATATGTTTAAGTTTAATACGATTACTTTGTTTTATTGTAAATAAAATGTGAGTTTATGAGATTTTCAAATAATAGCATTCTGTTCTTATTTACATTTGACAAATTTCACAGCTTTTTCCAGAATGGAGGTAATTGTTCGTCTCATTTCTCGTACACAGACAGAAGTCAGTGTGAGTTCAGCCATCATCCAGCTGTTTTTTTTTATTCTGGCATCTGTTCTCCTGCTGAGCCTGCAGCCCTCTGAACGTTCCCCCAGTCGCTCTGAGTCCTGTCTGCACTCTGACAGTCAGGTAACTTCTAATGCATCACGCTTCATGTTGCTGGGACGAACATAATGTTTTTTACTTAGAGCTCCCCAAGCAAGAAACACAAACCTCAGCTTCAGGCCCGCTTACCAAAATGTAACCAAAACTATGTTTTTAATAATTCCTGTGATGTCACATTGTTTCTAATTGTTTTGTTGCATGACCTGGATATTTTAATGAGAGCTGTCATGCTTCTTTCTTGCACTATCATATTGTCGCCTCACAGTGGTGCTAACGTTTCATAACTGAGGACAATAATCTGTTATTTTTCATTTAGGAGATGGAATACAGCAAAAATACCAGAGTTGAAATAACATTAGTCTACATGTGGCCACTTTTCTGAGCGTTAAATTAACTTTTAAGGTCTTATTTATGGGCACCAGTGACCCGAAAAGGAAGAAGCAGGTAAGATAATGGATGGAATATTATTAATATTAATCAGAAATCTGGCAAATTTGTGAAATAGATGGCTCGTGCAGCAAATCTACTAAAGTTAATGTATCAGTGTGAGAAGAAATGAACATTAATCAGAGTTACATCAACATATAATTGATCTAAACAGCCACTTCAAATATAAAATTATAGAATATTTCACTATGTTCATTTAACTCTTGAACGAGCAGACACATATAGACAGTCTTACCTCACTGGCTCAACTAAGTTTTATTCCTTAAAGTTTGAGAAGTTAAAAATGCCACTTATTTTACTGATAAAATTAATAAATAATCTGTGAGGGATTCTTTCCTCTGCTTGTTTTATTTTAGTTTATTGATTAAGCTTCAGAGTTTTGTTGCTGCATAACGGATGATGCAACAGAACGGGTGTTCAAGAAAGTTTCAGGGAACTCAAAAAGAAAGTTCCTAAAAGCTAAAGCTATTCAAAATCAAAAGAGGAGAGTAGCAAATTATTTTTTTTCTTTATTGTTATTAAGTATTCATTTTATGTACTTTGTACATTTTAATCTATACATTCACTTGAGTACATATTTTTTTTAAGTATTGTACTTAGTTACATATAAATTCACTAAGTAGAAAAAGGTGATCATAAACGCGAATTAAAATCAGGAGGATGCCTGCAGTGACTGAATCTGTTCCTCACCAGTCAGCCAGAGTCTGGTCCAGCTAAAAAAGATGGTGAGACACAAAAGAGGAGTTTTCCTGTTTAATACGTCATAGAGATTGTGTACAAGCTCCGCCCACTTGGCAGGCTGCATTGCCCACCAGCCTGGAGAGAAACTCAGCAGACGTACACTTCTCGTCTTGTCTCCAGTTGACTGGAGGACAAAAACACACACAACACCGCTACTTCTGTTCAAGTCCAAGCAGGGGCGAGTCTAGAATATGACATTTAGGGGCACCTAGCCCCCCCCCCCCCCTCCCAGTGCTGACAATGGCTCTTGACTTGAACAATGTAGTGGCCATTGGCATCAGAAGCATTTGTAATGTGGGTGTACACACTGGTGGGGGTCTGGGGGTACTCCCCCAGAAATTTTTGAAGGAAGTAGATGCCATTTCCTCCATTCTGGTGTATTTTGACAGGATTTTAAACATCTACGTTTACACACATTTGTAAAAATTCAATAACTATTTTAGAGAGCATGATACAACAAGATTATTAAGCTAAAATTACTACCTGTGAAATATTTATACTACCCGGTAATTCATCCTACTTGCACCGCTATATTCTACCGTGTTGTTGTATTTATTTTGGACCTTGTAAATATTATATTTTTTTTTAACTTTTTGGTACTTTATTGTGTACCCTTATTGTATGCTTTAGTATTTATTTTTCTATTTTTCTTTCTATTGTTCTATGTATTATAACATTTCTTTAAATGTTTTTATATAAAAAGTCTGATATTTTTTTGTGTTTGTTAGGGATTTCTTTAAGAAAAATGAAAATCAGTGAATAGACAGAGCTGCTTAAACTGAACTCATCACCTGCTCAGGAGGTGATGAGCTCAGTCTCTGTTACCATGGCAACCAAACCAGGTTCAAAGAACTCCTCTTCTGATTTTCTGAAAACTCAGACTTTCAGTTCAACCTATTTTAATAGAAGACATATTTTCACACATTTTACTGTTTTAAAAGTCATGCTCATAAAATCTTACAGCTCTGAGAGCAAGAACTGTATTTTTGGATCTACAGGAATGAACCGTATAAACAATCTAGTGCAGGACAGATAAAAGTTTTTCTACCAGCTGCTTGGTGGTTCGTTCGACGTGTTTTGTTAGTAAAAGCACCGTGGAATGGTCTGCACTGAAATAATTTATTCTCCCCAATTGTTTAAATATCCTGTTTGGACACGTTTTATTGTGTAAGTGCAAATTAAATTATGAGGTTTTTATTTGGTTAAAGAGCTCATTTTAGAAATTGTTTCCTTGTCCTTCGTGTACCTGTTGTTAAAAAATAAAAAGTAACTTTTACTTAAAGTAAAATTTTTCTTACTTACTTTTTTTTACTTGAGTACTTTGTACACAGTTAAGACCATTTAATTGTAATTTTGTAATTAATTTTAATCACAGCGTGCAGAAATTGAAACAAATAAAGAAAATAATACAAAATTCACCAGATTAGTAACGTGATTGCTGTAAAAATTAAATCTATGAGAGGATGAAACATTCAGAGGGGAAAGAAAGAATATAAAAACAATGTATGTCAGCATAAAAGTTTAATGAATATGGTGATTTTTATCATTAACAAAACACAAGACTTCCAAATGTGGGGGAAAGTTGAAACCCTGGACTGAATCTTAATGACAACAAACCAAACAAGATTTCTGACGCCACTTCTGCTCCTGTCGAAAGCAGTGAGAATATAAATTAAACTTTTCTTTTAAATTCACCTATTTCTGTGCAAAGATGAGAAATGATAAAAAATGTTGCTCTCATCAAATCTAAAACGAGTCTTTCTCAGCTCGCATCTGTTTCCTGCTTTATTCCCTTATCTTACAGTGTTTTGAGTAGATCTTGTTGTTTATTTGCTTCTTTCTCCAGTTTTCTCCTGTGGTGGTCTATTCTGATGGATCAATATGTCCACTACTAATAATATTGCCCAGGCCAGGAAACTGGTGGAGCAGCTGAGGATTGAGGCAGGAATTGAACGCATTAAGGTAAAACAAAATACATATTCATGCAGATTTTACGGTGCTAGGAATAAGAGTTTAAGGAACAAAACGGCTATAACTCTGCTCTGTCTCAGTAAAAATGATCTCTGTGTGATGCACAATCCTTGCTGCCTCTTGTGCAAGAATTAACTTATTTAATCCTTTCTCTGTTGTCCGTCCTTTTTTTTTTATTTTTACCATTTTCTCTGTCCTGCCAGGTTTCCAAAGCGGCAGCAGATCTGATGAGTTACTGCGAGCAGCATGCTCGTAGCGACCCGCTGCTCGTCGGGGTGCCCACCTCTGAAAACCCTTTCAAGGACAAGAAGCCTTGCATCATCCTATAGCTGTGTCTTGCTCTTTTTGCCCTCACACACACATGCACACACATACACATGCAAACCCACACACCCAAAAATAACCACTCTGGAACCGTGTCATACCCCAAGCCACCGCTAGGGGGCAGGCATCTTGTCCTCCTAGTGGCTGAGTTCAGTTAATCAGAGTATGGGTCAGGTGCTGTGCTACCCCTCACAAATGCTGGTAAAATAACTACAGGTTAACTTGAAAGGGGATTGTTTCTTTTCTTTCTTTGTCCATGAAACGAGGTGTTGGGTAAACGAAGGGCAGCTGTGGCAGAGGCGGGCCGTGGGACGGTGCATGTGGGTAACAGCAGTAGGCGCATCCACGACATAGTGTTGCGTTTAAAGCTCTACAAATGCCTCTTTCTTTCTCTGGAAACCTATGAAGTAGAAAACGTTTGAGAGCTTTGGAGCAATTCTTTGCTCCCATCAAACTGCAGCATGTTCCTCCACATCTGGAACAGCAGCTCTGTGGCCTCAGCGTGGCTGCCTGCAGCCTTGTGGCCTCCAGCTGTGCCACCCTGTACAAAATGCCGTCTCTAGATACGGATTTGCCGTCGCTGACGTTACAGCAGGTGATGAGAGATGCTTCGACATCTTAGCTGACCTCAGATCTGCAGCTACGAGACATGCAGCGAATAGCTCTATAAAGATCTCAAGCTATTACCCGTGGACGTTTACCGCTTTTATTTCCCTTAACGAAATACTTGTTTGTGAACTCAGTGTATGTTTTGGTATTTTTTGGAGCATTACTTATCAGACAAGATGAAGCTGTACACTTTTTTATGGTTTTACTCTGACATATTATGGGTGTGACCCCTGACTAATCCCTTTTTTCATGTTTATGCTAATGAGATGACAGATCTAGTGACGAGTCGGGGGTCTCACCTGAGCAGACGTTTCTACTGTACATGACACCTCCCTGTGCTTTACTTTGAAAGAGTGAGGTCACATCAGAACATCTATCTGCTGAGGCTGCAAGACTAAGAGATCATACAAAAAATCCCATGTTCTCCACTCATATTGGATCCTCTTGTGGGAAAATCCTGCAACGATCAAGGATTACTTATTGACTTATTGCATAATAATTTAGGTTATTAATAAAACATTGTGACTTTAGAAGTATTTTAAGGACCCATCTTTTGTGTGTTCGCCCTGGTCAGGGATCAGAACAAGCTTGCAGCCTTCCTCTGTGTCCTCGTCTCTTCCAAAACTCTCCTCTTCTCTGACAAACCAAACTTGATTGTAAAAACTGAAAACAAAGGGGGTATAAAAAAGACGACAACGTGTATAAACTTTCTTTCAGATGTTTAGAAGTGATAAGTTGAAGAGTAGCTGTTCTGGCTTTATTTTTTACGTTCTCTTCTTTCTATGGAGTCCATGGAACCCAGTCAGTGGAGTGTGGTCACCCTGTACAGTGTTTGTAAGATATATCTAAACACGGATGCCCCTCACCCGTGAACATTTGACTTTTTAGCATTACTTCTGATTTGTATGGTGGCCCTGAGGTGTAAATGAACAACATTTGAAAAAAAACAGACTTACATTTGAAAATACAGAATTGTATTAAGCCAAAGCAGAAGTGGCCGGAATCACACTTGGAACAAATGGAATCACGTTTGAAAAAACAGAATTACATTAAGCCAAAGCGGAAGTGACCGAAGCGGAAGTGGCTGGAATCACATTTGAAAAAACGGAATTACATTTCAAAAAAAAAAAAAAAAACAGAATTACATTAAGCCAAAGCGGAAGTGGTGGGTAATGTGTCAAACGTAGTTCTGTTTGTTTGTTTGTTTTTCAAATATGATTCTGGCCACTTCCACTTTGGCTACTTCCACTTTGGCCACTTCCGCTTTGGCTTAATGTAATTCTGTTTTATCAAATGTGATTCTGTTTTTTCAAATGTGATTCATTTACACCTCAGGGCCACCGTAGTTTTGTCAGTCGAGATCACATCTGTCTTCTCTTTCTCTTTTGGTCATTGAGGCTTTAGGGGCGTGTGATGACGGTGGTTGATTTTAGATTAAAAGACGTGATGATTATGGTTTAAGATCTTATTAGAGGGTTTATCAACATCAGACCTCATTTAAGTGCTAAAATTACAACTTCCTGATTGACCCTTTTAACACCAGTGCTGCTGTAGAGGGTGGCTTGTTTAGAGCAACTTGAATGCCACACAGCATACAGGTACAGTTTCTCTTGATGGGACTTTCAGGCTTGAGAGCTCCTGGAAAAAACTTCAGGGTCCAGGTTTTGATGACTACTGGGAGTTTTACACAAAGTTTCACTAGGGTTGCAAAAGGGAAGAACATTTCTGGTAAATTTCCAAAAAAAAACTTTCTTGAAACTTTCCATTAAGCTTGGGAATTTGGGGGACACCCTGGAGGTATTAATCCATCACAGGCACTAACTGAGACAAGCGTTCAGACTCTCACCCACATTAGAGACAATATAGAGCAGAGATATTCAACTGGTGGCCTGGGGGCCAAATCAGGCCCACAAGTGAGCTCAGTGCAGCCCACCATTGGGTTAATTTTTAAATAAAACTAGATTTTAAACCATAAAACAAACTTAATGAGAATAAGTGCTGAGATCTTGGCTTTCAGTAACTGTGGCCCCCAGAATAATTCAGTTAAATAGTCCTGATCTAGAGTTGCAGATGAACCCAGTTTGCATGTTTTATGCATTCATTTATGCAAACTGCACACAGAACAGAACCAAACATTCAACCCTCCTGCTGCCCTTAGGTCAAAATGACTCACAAGCTCAGTTTTTAAACTAAAGCTTCATAGGTCATTTTGACCCAAGGGCAGCAGGCGGGTTAATGATGTCACTGATCACATAACCATCACAACCACAACATTTAGAAAACAATGGATTTTGATCATTTCTACAGTTCTCCTTTGTTTTTATATTTTTATTCATGCACACAGCTCTGAACAAGAATATCCACGTTGTATGACGGTTTGTCCACACATTATATTTCCAGTGGACACGACATGTCCAGATGACATAATTATCATTTTTAGGCTGTGCCACTTTTCATTCAGTCAGTCTGTTTTAGTCAAGGTCATGCTGAAATATAATTTCCCCAACTATATCTACAATCCCTGATAAGGGACATGGTTTACAGTTTTTTCCATTCCCAACAATTTTCATGGAACATTTCCAGCAAATGTTGCAACCGTGTGGTTTGACATTTGAACAGACCGTTGCTGCTCGTGTTGTCATGTCAGTGTGACCCAGCTGCTCTGCTCACATGTAGTGATTTTGGAGAGTTTCTTCTGGTCCGTGCTTCCTCGTAGCTGGGTAGTCCTGACCCAGATGTTGCACATCAGTGCAGAAAGCAGAGAGTATTTTAAGGCAGGTCATGTTTTTTTTCCCACGGTCACAAGGAACAGACGACAGGAAGCACTGCTGCTTTAAGAAAATACAACTTTATAATTATAAAAATCACTGATTAGCCTTTTCCTTTCACTTCCCCCCCGACACTAAGCCTTGCTTTAATGCTTTTTCACTCGTTGCCTTTGTTCCGAACAGATAGAGCAGGCCGTTTCCAAAAAGCAGGAGCTGGAAAAAGACCAGAGCAGGCTGGGGGTGGATGAGTGTGCGGGTGTATTGGAGTTTAGTTGAAAAAGATGATTAAGCAGAGGAGTAAAAAAGAGAAAGCAGAGGTGCTGTTTGAGAAGGCTCAGTGGCTCCAGTGTGGCGGGGAGTGAGGGGTGAGGGGTGGGGGGATCCTGCAGAATTCTGGGTCACGGTTAGTCTGGCCTCAGGAGAGGTCATGTGATCCTTCATGTATGGCCTCCATTTGTTTATGAGTCAGAGGCTTGAAGAAGAGAGTAAAATGGAATGGTGCCACAAGTTAAAACTAGTGTGGGATTCTGTGAGATGATGACTAATAACCCAAAAATAATCACGACGCTGTTAAAAATCAAAAACAATCTCCTCCGAGCTACTTCAAACTCTATTGTGATCTCAGCTACATTTAATAACCAATTGTTTTTTTTTTAACCATTCAATAATAGTAAGGTTAATAACCTAGTTTAATTTGGAAAAACTCGTTTTGTTTTTAGCTTTATGTTAAGTTTACAATCAAACTTTTAGGACTATTTACACCATTTCTGTTCAAAAGGGATTAAACACTGACAGCTAGCTTAGTTAAGTCTTGCTCAAAGACAGAAAGTTGACCAACCAAACAGTATTTGATCATTTCCTGTTTTAAAATGACTTTCTGTTCTTTTGTGTTTTCAACTGCACAGAAACAGTAAAACAGCTGGTGAGCATATTTTAATTGTTGTTGTTTCTGGTTTTGATGCTAAGCTCATTGAATGGCTTTGGGATAATCATAACTGATGAGCAGATCAGCCACAGAGGCAGAAAATGATCAGTTAACTTTGTATGAATCTCGTGTCTGACCTAAAGTAAATGTCAAATAAAGATTGAATTATATTCCTTTATTAGACTAGTGCTACTGACTTCAGCTAATCACTAAAGAAATGCTACATATGGCAGGAAGCTGCGGAGTTGTTTTCAGATTTTAGTGGAAGAAGATGGCGGCAGCAGAAATTTGACCGAACATGCATGAATATCATATCAGCGCACACATTTTCTGAAAATGTCTGTCATGCTTTTGAAAAATCATTCCATTGCTTGAACACAGCAGAATGAATTGCTGGTTCAGAGCAACAGTTTGACTGACGGTTGTTTTGGCTGTGGATCTATCAGAACTGGATGAAACGTGCGGCTCACAACAATCCACTGGTGTTCAAAGGAAACCGTTTGTGGGCCTGCAGAGGAGGCTCCTCACTGACCTTCATGCCAGACATCAGCTCCGAGCCCTTTCTGAGACTCATCTCTTCTGTCCTCATCCGTGTATGCATTCAGTTCGTGTATCTTTTTGCCTTGATTAATTATGGGGAAAAAATATCTATTTTTTGTAACTGTTCTCTGATGTGCCATAACTCATGTTTTCTTGCACATTGTTAATATTTTGTGGATATTGCTGTTAAAACAATGATATTGAGAAGTAGATAACATTAATAAAAATATGATATGATGACATTAACCTCTGTTAGGTTTATTTTTTCCTGTGTGCTCTGGCTGTGAGACTGAAATATGTCTCTATTGCTATTACATGCAATGATATTACATTTATTTATTTTTACTAAAACATTTGCTTTGGATTCCAAAATGCGTACATTTGTGTGCATCTGCTTGTCTATCTGTTATGAGGCGGCTGTGGCTGAGTGGTTAGAGCAGTCGTCCTCCGATGCAAGAGTTGGGGGTTCAGTTCCACCAGCAGTCACATGCCGAAGTGTCCCTGGGCAAGACACTGAACCCCTCATTGCCTCCAATGTGTGTCCCATCAGTGTATGAATGTGATAAATCTCTGATTATTCTTTGTAGAGATCTAGTAGAGTGCTGTATGAATGGGTAAATGAGGACACAGATTGTGTTGTAAAGAGCTTTGAATATCTTAAGATAAAAAGGTGCTCTATAAGTACAGTCCATTTAACATGTGTTAGCATAGAGTACTGCACAGATTATAATCAAACTCTCTGAAAGTAAATAGCTACAACTACTACATCTACAACTGATTAACTTTTGGAGTCACCTCCATTCAAGATGGCCACCACAGCTAACCCACCTAAGCAAACACAAAATGACTAGAACGTGTTTAATGTTAAAGATATTGAGCTAAACTTTGGTGCAGTTTTAGCTAAGAGTCATTTCCAACCTGTAGTCTGCGTGCCGTTTGCTGAAGATCTGCGTATTTTGGTGCCAACTTTGTTAGCAAAATATCTCATGAGCTGCTGAACAAATTGCAATCAACCTGTCAGTGAGTAATCAACTATACATCTCCAACTGATGCACTTTGGGAGTCGATCCATATTTTGATGGCTGCTGCAGCTATAAAAACTTACAAGCACAAATAGTTATAACAATCAGTTTAACGCTTTCAAAGCTAAATTTTGATACGACATGTGCTCAAAGTGTGATCATGCATGATCTAACAACATCTCATGAGGTTATACAAAACGTCATTTCTCAACATGAGATGATTATACAGAATTTTTAAATATTGGCACTAAAGATGGTGGGTGACGGGCATCGCTTAAAGAAATGCTAGGCCTTTGATTGCATTCAATGCATGTATATAGTTTGTGCTGCCTCTGCAGGACACCTCGTCTTTTTCCTGAACATATATAAACCACATGCTGAACTGTATGATGAGTACAGGCTGTTCAGAGCTAAGGCAGGAACTCAATGCACCAAACAGAAGAAACAAAGTGAGGTAGCGCCTCCCTGCTGGGTTATTTAACAGGAATTTCATTGTTGCACCTCCTGTGCCTTCTCTAAGTCATTCCCAAGCTTTCCTTTCATATTTCAAATGTGACTCCTCTTTTGACCGCTTAGCAAATGCAGCCAGAAGAGATGTGGGGTGGACGAAGCACAGCCAGTTAGAAGCCAGTCCTCACACTGGTTACGCCTCCGAGCAGCAGATTGCAAACATACGGGTGGTCCATGTGCCTGAGTGTTCCTCTGCAGTTGGTCAGACATGTGAGAGGGCTGATACTAAGATTAGGTGGAGCGGCAGGGGTGGAGTTTGTTTCATGTTTGCACGCTTTGGAAATTGGCTGGAAAAGAAAAATGCAGCAAAACATGAAACGTATTGACCGTTTTGATAGGAGGCATTCATGTTTCCTGCAGGAGCAGTCAGTCAGCATTAGCTGGCTCTCCCTGTTCTGTCTGGTACGATTAGTTTCTGTCACCCCCCCTTGGTTTCACTATGACTGATTTAAGGATTACAAAATCTTTGTCCCCAAGAATGTAGGTTTTGTCATTACTTGAATGCCGATGTAAACTTGTTTGTTTGGAAGTAAGAGCAGACACTTTTGTTGGATTCAAATAAATTTAATAAATTAGCATGAGAAAATAAAACAACAACAGACACAAAAAATAAATTAAAAGTGTCGCCACTTCGTATTATTATCTAAAACAGCAAGTCTCGAAGGCACAGTGATGCTGTTTAAACTCGTTTTGTTCAGACGGTTCATTCTACAACACATCTGGTCCTGAGCGCTTCTTCTTGCAGTTTCTTTCTTGCTTCTGCAACGCCAGCAAGTCCTGCGAGTCTTTGTCCTTTCAGTTTCCATAGTAATCACTCCTCCACAAGTTCAGCTGTTCATAGCACACCCATTCTTTTCTAAAGAAAGATACTAGGCATACCACACTTTCACACACAATCACACGCCCCGTTCTCTGCAGACTCTCCCATCACACTCAGGAATGCTGGGTGTACAGTAGTTCCACTATTACAGCATGCCTGTCGGGACAGTAAGCACACAGATCATCCAGGTACAAGCCGGGGTGTGGAATATTTACTATCGAAGCGGCTGCTCCCTCGTAATGACTAAGCATAGTTCCCAGACAGACGCCAGAATTACAGAGTTAGTTTTGTGCTTCGTGGTAACTGAATGTCCAACTCCTTTTCTGGCCTTTGCACAACCGTCCAGCGGTTTCACAGCGACTGCAAGGGAAGCTGTGGCTCCTGCTCGTCATCAGCCTGAACAGCATGCTGGCTTCAGTCCGCTCAAGGCTTCTGCTGCTTGAGAATCAACATCCTTCACGTCATTGATGCATAAACCCAGAGAATTTCTGGGTTCATTTCAGCGTCAGCGTTCCTGCAGGACCAGTTCCGGCACCCACTGGTGAAGACGGCGACTCTCCTGGCAGTACGTCTCCACTTCCTGTAGCCTGCAATGGTCCACCTGAGGGTTCTGCAGAGGAAATGATCAGATTTTAGGGTGAGTTTTATCTGCAGACAGGAAAAATCAGAAGGATGAGCTCCAAGAGGCTTGTTTTGTCCGCTCACCGTGACCAGCATGCAGTGCAGGTCTCTGCTCTCCTCCTGGTTCCTGTTTGCGTCTGCACCTCCCAGAAGCTGCTGGAGCCGCTGGACCCCGGCGACACGCAGGATGTCGATGCCGGTGTCACAGCAGAAGGCCTGAAGCAGCGTGAAGTGGATCTGCAGGGCCACGTCGTCCTCATCGTCCACTGCCAGGACGCACAGAACCACACTGTCTGAATCTCTGAAGCACAAGGAAAAACCCAATTAGAAAAAACAACAACACTTAGAATAGGCAATGTTCTACATAATCTGAAAGGTTATATGACAAACGTGATAACGCATTCTTAAGGCCAACGTAATGTTTCAACTCACGCATTGAGAAGCTTTGCTGATTCGTAGATACCGACAGTCAGGCAGTCTTGTTTCTGAGCCGTCACCAGCAGCTCCTCCAGGGCCAGACCTGTGGACTGCATCCTGAGGGCACACAGCGCATGCACTTTACCACCAGAAATAACAGCAACAAAACAGATTTGCATTTGCTTCTGGCCAAAATTTGATTTTAAACTTTTGCATGACTACTCACATGCAGCATATAAATATAATATAATAAATTAAAACACAACTATACGTTAGGCTGCAATGATGCATTCAAGTCCCAAGTGAGTTCTAACTGTGTGCACAAAATAAGTTTAACATTTGAACTCTTCATGCAGCAGGATGGATTTTAACTGACAGTGATGTGGAGGAATATACAATAAATAAATATATCAGAGATTATCTTAATTCCGAGCTCACAAGTCAGCCTCAGGTAGAACGGGGTCAAAGGACAGAGGCATTCCTGTCCTGCACAGGATGTTCTTTCACACGGAACAAGCAGATCTGTGCCTAAAAAAACAGCATGCATGATGCTCACCTGCTGCTCTGCACGGAGCCGAAGCTTTCCTCAGGAATCATGTTCGCAAATCAGAAATTAATCCCAGGGAGTAAAAGCGTAATAATCTGGTGGTTGGATGGTCAGACTGCTCAGTGCCTGCAGGCGTGTTCTCAGTTTGTTGACAGCAGGGTGTGCACTCGTTTTATAGACACTGAGGGAGGGGGGCGGCACCGAAACTGCAGGGGTTTTATCATTGGCTGCACGCGAAGACAGCCTCTGCCCTGCTTTGGTCTTTTATTTTTGTTTTTAAATTCCATGATGACTGCACTACACGTCCATTTTCACTCTGGTAAATTCCCATGTAGACTTTGAGCATATGTGTTTTTTTTTTTAATGCATATGGATAATAAATCCATCTGGAGATGATCAAAGTAAACAAACAGTTTAAATTACGCAATAAACTCGTACCACCAGTAATGATGTAATGAAATCATGACTGCCATCTAGTGGCTGACTGACGCAAACAAAGTTTATTTAAACAACAACACACAGGGACGTTTTTATTTTTACTTATTTTTATTTTTTACTAAATAAATAAATACATAAATAGATAAATAACAAATTATATATATTTTTTAATACTAAATAAATACAATTAAATAATTAAATAAATAATAAATAAAAATAACTTTTACTTTTTCTTTTACTTGGGGGAGTGGTGGCGCAGAGGTAAGAGAAGGTGGGCCTGTGATCGGAAGATCCCTGGGTCAACTCCCAGTACAAGATCAAAAATGTGGGTGGGATAGATGAAGCACCCACACCTGCCTCCACCCTCATTTGCCCCACTCTGGACTCTTGAGCAAGGCCCTTAACCCCCATCTGATCCCTACATATCACCTCTCTGCTCCACACAGAGAGCTGTGGTGGCTCAAATTCAATTCAAATTCAAGAATACTTTATTAATCCCAAAGGGAAATTAATTGTTGTAGCTCATCTTGATTTCATTAGAGTTGTTCAAGATGCTGATGGTTTGGGGCAGGAAGGATCTCTTGAAGCAGTCCGTCCCACAGCAGATACGAAGAAACTGGCTGCAGATGCCGATCCATCCACCCAGACCCAGCAGACCTCTTGTCCTCTTGGGCAGCAGGACTGCCTGAATTCCAAACAGAACTCCTCCCTGAGCAATGGCCATTTCTCCTAGCAGCTGCCGAGCCCCTCATCACGTGGACTTCACTGCAGGTGCCGGTGGATGGCACGGGCCGTGTTTCCTGCTACCTCCAAGATTTCGGCAGTCAGGCACTCGAGCACAGCCTCCAGGTAGACGGTAATGCATCCACGACACCTCCTTTTCAACTCATTTGGTATTTGGGGCTGTAGTTGAGTTCTTATCTGAGCTTTTGAGATGTTAATCAGCAGCTCCCAATTGTAGAAAACCACCTTGTTGTTATGGTTACGCATCACAACAAATGTCCAAAAGTAAAAAAGGTTTTGGTAAAAATCCTTCCAGCGGCACAGCATCTGATACCAGAGGAAGCAGCCATCTGAAAAAGTGTTCCACATACAGAAAAATTAGTAATTAAGTTTTCAAAAGCAAAATCTCACAATGAATGTAGGAGAGCTACTCCAACATGCAGCCACCTTGAGCGGCGCAATGCTGGAATTCTGGCTTGGTAGGCGTAAAAATAGTTGACAAGTCTTTGTACGAATTAGTTCACTGTGGCGACCCCTGAAGAAGAGAGCAGCTGAAATATATATATATTTTTAACTATGTCACATAGGAGGGTGTAAAAGTTGCACAATGGTTTTTCATTAAACGTGATCAAAGTAAAGACGTGTTGCACTCATTTTTAGGGATAGTTAAAATTTACAGTCGCTGAAGTCGCTGGAGAAGCTGGTCCTTAAGCACGTCAGATCAGTGGTGGAACCATATCTGGACCCCCTACAGTTCACATAACAGCCATACATTGGAGTTAATGACGCCATCAGGTGCATCTACCTGCTGCACAGAGCCTACACACACCTGGAGAGGGCAGGCAGCACTGCAGAGTCATGTTCTTTGACTTCTCCAGTGCTTTTATCACCATCAGACCTGCTCTACTCTGCAGTAAGCTCCTGGACATGCAGGTGATCAACTCGCTGGTCACCTGGATCAGAGACTATCTCACAGGTCGACCACAGTATGTGAGGCTGCAGAGCACCACCTCGGACACCATACTGAGCAGAACAGGGGCTCCTCAGGGCACGGTACTCTCACCATTTCTTTTCACCATCTACACCTCTTCAGGTGCAACTCACAATCCTGCCATCTGCAGAAGTTCTGGATGACTCTGCCATTGTGGGCTGCATCACTGGTGACCAGGAAGCAGAATACAGAGGTGTGGTGGACAGAACCACCTGCAAAGGTTTGATTCCACCTGTCAGTCACATGCCAGAGAGTTCAAACAATGAACTGCTCTTTCTGTGCATGAATGCTCTCCAAAGTACTCAGACTCTATAGAATGACTTGTTCTGATTAGCTGTGCTGAGATGTAGTCGTGTGCTTTATGAATGTTTATGGGTGGGTAAACAAGGGGCACTAAATAAGTACAGTACAATCTGCTTGTCTGTTAAAAAATTCAATAATTTGCAAATCTCATAAGCCTATTTTCTTCAGAATGAACATATTGAATGTTTAAACTAATAAACTGCACATTTCTGCAGAAAAATAGATCATTTTGAATTTTATGAAAGCAACACATCTCAAAGAAGTTTGGACTGAGGCAACAAAAAGCTGTGAACCAGCAGGAGGAGCAGTTTGCAGGTTGGAAACTTTCAGAAAAAGGACTGGGTATTAAACATGTTGTTTTTAGAGAGGCTGAATCTCTCAAGGGGAAAGAGGGAGAGGTTTAACAGAATGTAAAATAACTGCATGTGAACACCAGAACGACCATCATCTCTGCTCATTTTAAATGCAAGGTGGCAAAACGGAAAACTGTTTTGTGGTGAGAAAAATTCAAATGAATGCCATGCTCTCTGTACTAAAGAGGAGAAGGACCATCTGGTCTGATGGATTGACTTCTTCTTTCCTTCCTTGCAAGTCCGTCCATCCATCTGTCCATCAATTCTCCTCTTGTCTGGAGTCATCAGTTAGAGCAGAGAAACCCAGTCCTACAGCCGTCTCTTGGGGTCCCAAAGCGTTCCCAGACCAGCTGAGACACAAAAAGTTCATTTTTAAGACAGTTTCACAAAACGGCCGCACAGACAAATCTGTCTTTAAACTTCCTCATAAATCAAAGATACAGACACGAGTACTGAGAAATGAAGCAGGCCGAGCAGAACCAAAAGAAGATTGTATTCATCTCTCTCATGTCATTTACTGAACTCGGTGAATGAATGAGCTTTAGCAACACTTGTGGTTAACTAACTGCAAAGATGTGTCAATATTTCCCCGTTAATCGATCTGTTTGTTGTTTAATCTTGCACGCAGGCGGTCACACTATTGTGGGAAGAGGGGAAGGGAAGTCTGAGATTGTCATCATTGTATGTTCCCATACAACGATGAAGTTAGTTCTCTGCATTTAACTCATCACACCTGAGACACACGCAGGTGGAGAGTGGGCAGCTATGTAAGCAATGAGGGATTATATGTCAGAGACATCACGACATGTGGGAATGGCTGGGAGTCGAAGCGTGACTTTCTGGTCCCAGGTCGGCTGCCCTGCCTCTACACCATCTCAGCCCCCGAATGATGAACTGTCATCAGTTCATCACATTACTGAGCCGCAGCTCTGCGGTTTGGTTTTTCACACGTCAGCCACCCCAGCCATGTTCCTACCTCACTCAGAGGCACATGGGTGCGTCAGAGGTGGGCTGAAGATGAAGTCAAATCTACCTACTATAAGGCCCCGTTTACACAAGAACCTCTGGACATGTGGTTTTTTTTTTAGTTTATTGGGGAAATAAACAAAAAATGAAACGAACCAAAATGGAAAATTTCTCCCCAAAAACTTCATCAACTGGTTTCTTCAGTTCCTCCACGTTTATAAGTTGTTATTAAAGAAGAGGGAATGCTTCACTGAGAGAAACATGGCCAACTTTTTAAGACAAAGTGTTTCCATCAAACTCAAAATAACCTTATATTTATTTGGTTTAAGCATTTCACACCTTTACGGAGTTTCATTGTGAATAAGATTTGGGTTTATGAGATTAATAAATCTTTGCATTCTGTTTTTGTTTTACACATTTCAATTTTATTACACTTCAGGTTGAAAAACATTGAAATAAAACAAACCCAAAAATGACTTCTCAGGTTTTTGATCATCTCACACGGTCTTCACAACATGATGCTTTAAGTTTTAACTGATTGCAATATTTACCTCAAAGATCTGAACTACAAATATTTTTAAAGTAAAATATACAATAGTTGGCTTCAAAAAGGTGGAAACAAATCTGCGTCTGTCACGAACGCCACACGTTTGTCAAATTAACTGAAATGAAACCAACATGTGGCATTGAGGCATTTTATGACAGTATTGCGCAAGTGCTCAGTAAAGATGAAGTGAAGACATTTTTGTTTCTCTTGTTATTTGGAGACAGTGCTGACTGAATTGAACTTTTCCATGATGGATACAAACCACAGCATCTAAAGGACATGAATCTTTGCACAATACTGTATATTTGATCTGGTTTTAAACAACTTCATGTTCATCATGTTTTGGTGAAACTCTGCGGAGATGATCGTTAGATCTGTGTTGCTCCTGCTGGATTTTGTCTTCTGGATCGTCTGCAACTTGGTTCTCGAAAAAGTTGTCAGCATAATTGAGCATTTGCTCCAAGGCCATGAACAGCAGGATGTTGGTGTTTTGGTCCAGCTCCAGCTCCTCACAGTAGTTTTTCACAGGCAGCACAAAAGACAACGGGACACCCAGAGACTCACTCAGCTGACGGGCCTAAAAGGAAGTTGGACAAAGGTGCAAAAGTTAATTTGTAACATAGTTTCCATGTAACATAGTAGGAGGTTATAAAAACAAACCTTCTGCTGGATGTAAACACTTCGATACACATTCTTTAAGTCTTCTGCCACAAGTGGACAGGCTTCATCCACCTTCGTCATCAAGATGAGCTGAGGAATTCCTGTCGGGGAACAAAACAGAGTTTGGCAGAGAACTTTTTATTATGCAAAACATCCAATATTTAATTTCTAACCCAGTTGGTTGGCCTTCTTCCGGATAGCAGCAAACTTATCCAGCATCTTTGGGCTGAGAAGAGACACCTTGCAGGTGTCGACCACATACGCCACGCAGTGAATCTTGTCATTCAGAGTCACGTGCTTCCTATAGCCAGGAGCATCTTCCAGAATTGGTGACGAAGTACTGAACTGAAGGGACAACAAAACGTTTGTTAGGAAATAGTTTTTAAGTTACATGAGCTCATAGAAAGGTTGGCGTTTAAAGACCTGGTAGCGATCCTTGATGTGACCCTTGAAGATGCTGACTATGTCATCAATGTTCAAACCAGCATCAGCGTTTTCCTCCAGTCCCATTGTGTCACAGAGTACCAGAGGAATGGCTCCTCCACTTTTCCCCACCTTGATGGTGTAAGTGCGAAACTAGAAAGTGGACATGAAAAGTGAGACAATGGTGCTGTCTCAGTCCTGCTCCATGGACAGATTCAGGAAGTCCTTTGTCCTTCAGGCCATGAAACTGGTCAACTCCTCCCCGCACAGTAAAAATAGAGCCTTGTAAATCTGCAGCACCCCCTAGACACTTATGTATGTCTAAGTATTTATATACAGTATACATGTACATATGCACATACATACATACATATACACAGTATATACATATATATATATATATACACAGTATATACATATATATATATATATACACAGTATATACATATATATATATATA